ATACTGGGTGAACAAGGTCCATTGGTCCCACAGTTAGGTGAATTGGGGCCATGTAGTTTAGTTGTAGGCCCGTGTGGGAATACGCTTGAAGGTTCAGCTCGCACCTTTGAAGTTTGAAGGTTTAGGTCACCAGGTTGGTACAGCAGGTGTAACGGTAGTGTCATTTGTCGCCCCGTCATCATCTCGAACGGGGGTACTCCGGTAGACCGGTGAGGGGTGGCCCTGACGGCCATCAGTACCAGAGGAAGCTTAATATCCCAATCCTTTTGATTGGCGGACACATACTTCTTCAACATGCTGACCACTGTCCTGTTGGTACGTTCCACTTGACCTGAGGAAATTGGGTGATGGCTTATATGGAGCTTGGCCTGTATACCCAAGAGTTTCCACACTTCTTGCATGACTTCGGCGGTGAAGTGGGTTCCTCGGTCAGAGTTGACCCTTAAAGGCAGTCCGAACCTTGAGAAGATGTGGTTCATCAAAAGGCAGGCTGTCGTTTCTGCTGTATCGTTGGGAGCTGGGAGACACTCTACCCACTTTGTGAATTCGCAAACCACGGTGAGGAAGTATTTGTTACCCCGTGTTGACCGTGGTAGGGGTCCCACCCAATCTATTTGGAGGTCCGACCATGGGAAGGTCATTCCTTTCCGTTGCAGCGGTGCTCGGTGGTTTGGGTTTGCCGGTTGGTACTGGCAACACACCAGGCATCCTTTTACGTACTCCGTCACGTCCTGCTGCATGCCAGGCCAGTATGCTACTTGCTTGAGCGTTTCGTATGTGGCCTTGGTGCCATGGTGTCCAGCGCATGGTGAATCGTGGGCGTGCGTCAGCATTATCCCCCTTTGGCCCTGAGGGACTACGAGCTTTGGCGCAGTGAGGGGCTCAGGGACATATGTGAGGACGCCGTCTTTGAGATGCAGCATGTGCTTGATAGAGTTGAGCGTGCGGAGGTCATAGGAAGTGGCTAGGTTGGAGGTGGGAATGGGATGAGCTAATGGGTCTGAAAGGTGAGCTGCAATAGTTTGCAGTGTTGGATCCGAAGCTTGGAGGGTGAGGAGATCATCAGTGGCGAATTGAGGTGAGAGTTCAATGTGGGAGGAGGTGGGGGTTTGCACGCCAGTGGCGTGCTGGCGGCGGGTTATAGCAGCCACTGATGGGGTGGGTGGGAGGGCAGGACATGTCCAAGACTCTCCGTGTAATGCACCTGCTTTGGCGAGGGCATCAGTTTGGTCATTGAGATCTTTGTCTTGTCCTGGTTGACGTGAGTGGCCTCGGACCTTTTTCCAATAAACGATCATGTCATGTTCAGTGACAATGGCTTCGCATGCTTGGAAGAGTTCCTGATGTTTGACAGGCTTGTTGTTAGCAGTTTTGAATCCATTCTTTTTCCATCCAGCTAGATGGCATGTGAAGCTTAGACGGGCATAGTTCGAGTCGGTACAGATGAGGAGTTCTTTAATGTTGTGGGATGCAGCACATTGTAGGGATATGAGGATGGCCGCAATTTCTGCGTATTGCGATGAGTGAGGGCCTAATTTGAATTGTTGCGGCGGGCAAGGGTCATTGTTTAGCCAGACTACTCCCGCTCCAGCTTTCAAGTTGCCCTGTTGATTGTAGGAGCAGCCATCGACATATGCTGTGGGCATTCCTTCACACACATTCTCCTCGAAGTACCTGTGGTTTGTCAGTTGTGGCGGTAACGGTTCTTTGGGTTCTGCTGCTGTGTGCAGCGTGTCCGTTGAACAGTTCTGGCAGGCTGCTAGCCCGTTTCCTAGATATGATCTGTGGTTTTGGGCATATCTTGCTTCGACGTCTCGTCCTTGGAGCGTCATTAGCCAAGTAGCTATGCGTGCGTTGGTTACCACGCCATCCCTGATTCGTCGGCTGTTGAGGAAGGTTACTGGCTGGTGACAGGTTTCAATGATAACCTTCTGAGCTCCAATGTAGTTGGAGAAACGCTGGATGGCCCACACAGTGCAAAGCAAAGCTTTTTCGCAATCTGAGTATTTGCATTCTGGGGGAAGCAGTGTTTTACTGGCATAAGCGACCACTCGCTTGTCTTTGTCATGGAGCTGGTACAGGCCTGCACTGAGGCAGTGATTGGAGAATCCAGCGTCCAGATAGAACTCTTTTCCTGGGTCTGGGTAGGCCAGGCATTGTGCAGCGCACAGACGTTGCTTGAGCTCGCTCATAGCCTTGTCTTGGGCTTCAGACCAGTTGAAGGGTTCGTCCTTTCTCAGGAGGGAGGTTAGTGGTCGTGCGATGTCAGCGTAGTTTTCAATGAACTGTCGTGAGTAATTGCACACTCCCAGAAAGCTTCGTAGCTCGGAAATGTTAGTGGGTGTCTTTATGTTTTGGATTGCTTGGGTGCGACTGGACTGTGGTTCAATACCGTCCCGTCCAATTAGCAGACCGACGTATTTTACTTTGGTTTTGCACCATTGTCCTTTGTGGAGGGCGATCTTTGCTCCTGCTGTTGTCAGCTGGTTCAGGACGTGATCGATTTCTTTGAGGTGGTCTGTCACATTTGAGCTTTTCAACAGCACATCATCCACGTAAACGAGGTTGCCTCTGGTTCTGGCATCAGGGCATGCTTTGTTTAGGAAGATGTTGAATTCAGCTGGTGAGTTGGCATAGCCAAAGGGACACCGTGTGAAGGTGTATTGTCGATTGGCAAAGGTGAATGCCAACTTGTGTTGGTCATCAGGGTGGACAGGGATCGTCCAAAATCCAGAGGCGACGTCCATTGTGGAAAGGATCGTTGAGCCTCTGATTTTGGGAATCTCTTGGTCCAACTGGGTCATTGGCCATCGTGACAAGGGTACTTGCTGGTTCAACTTGCGGTAGTCGATCGTGGGCCGCCATTTGCCGTTGGGTTTCATGACTGGCCATATCGGAGCAGAGTATGTGCTGTTACAGGGCCGGATGACCCCCTTTTCCAGCATGGAGTCAACAATTTCTTGCACTGGCTCATATGACGCTATTGGAATCTTGTACTGTCGCACAAATGTGGGTGGTGCATTTGGGCTTGTCGGGATGCGCACACTGTGGATGTTGGTCAGTCCACAGTCCAGGGAGTCCTTTGCGAAGGAGTCCTTGTACTTGTACAGAACTTCTTTGAGTCCTTGGCGGTCCGCTTCCTTGTGGAGGGCATCCGCCTCACTCAGGATCTGTTGGATTTGTGCGGCGAACCCGATGTAGGGTTCCTCCATGGTTAAGTCATTTGAGGGGCTCTGTGCCTTGATGGTCACCTGTGCAGGTGATTCTGTTGCGAGCTGTGTTGAGACAGCGTAGACTGCAAGGTGAGTGTCGTCTGTGATTTCTGATCGGCAGACGCTTTCTCTGGGCACTGGCAGAATAGAAGTGATGGCAATGGTTCCATTGGGTCTCGTGAACGTTACTGTGTCATCATATTCATCTGACAGTAGTGGTACTGGTATGTGGCCTATGACCGGCACCGTTAGCTCAAAGTCATGGAACGTCTGGTTAATGAGCCATCCCAGGTGACTGGCTTTGGGAATGTTGATGTCTTTGGCCGTACAGTTGTTGAACAGTATGTACACAGCACGAGATGTCACTTCAATGAGAGGTGTGGCTTCCAAGGTCAGTCCTAGTCTTAGGCAGGTCCTGGAAGGTTGGAAGAAGCCTAGCTTACTGTCGAGAGAGTGGCCAGGTCGCATGTTGAGGCGGACGCTGACACTCTTGCTGTAGGCAGGTATTGCAGCTTCTTGCTCACTGATCATGGCACATGCGTCTGGCATTGTTTGACCAGATCGAAGGTTCTTGAGGTTGACTGCCGTGGTCAGTTGGTGTGACAGGGGAGCCCATATGACGTCGTTCACGATGTCCACACAGGCATTGAGCCGGACCATGATGTCTGCTCCAATGCAGATGTCATGAGGTAGGTTGGGGACAACGAGGAAGTAGTGACTCAGGTGTCTGTTGTTCCATCGTATATCCACAGCGCAGATGATCTTGGAGGTAGCCATGGTTGTTGACCAGGGACTGAGAGGGAAGCGGCTGTGTCTTGAGACATGTGGGAGGCTCGGCTGTCCTTGATTTAATGCTCTGAATAGCTTCAGGCTGATAGCTGAGTTCTCCGCCCACAGGGTTAATGCCGCGTCGGACACTGAGGTGTCGTGGACATTTATGGCAGTCATGATTCGAAGGAGGCCTGAGTCTGAGTCAGGCGCCTGCAATGAGCAGAGGAAAGGGTCCAGGTTCTTGCTGCTTGGAATTGAGCTTGGCCCTGGCCCTGGCTTTGACATTGCATCATCAGTCAGTGAGTTGGCGGTGGTGTCTGTGGTTTGACACTGCGACTCGTTGGGGTCTACTGACTGGCAGGGTAGAGGCTCACGGACTTGCGTCCATATCTTTAGTTGCTTGAAGTCAATTAAGGGTTCAAAGCGATTAAGCAGGTCTTTTCCAATGAGGAGTGGATACGTGTTGAGTGGTGAGATGTATACTGGGTGAACAAGGTCCATTGGTCCCACAGTTAGGTGAATTGGGGCCATGTGGTTTAGTTGTAGGCCCGTGTGGGAATACGCTTGAAGGTTCAGCTCGCACCTTTGAAGTTTGAGGGTGCTATTAGACCTCTTTGTTCTTTCTTGGACTTCTTCAAGGAGTTCAGGTGACAGTAGGGGGATGTGGGCTCCCGTGTCCAGAAGGGCTTCGACTTTGATGTGGCGTTCGATGATGATGGAGAGGTAAAACTTTCGTGCTATACCTTTCTCAATGAGGTCGCCCAGTAGTTGAGGGACTGGAGTTTGGGATGAGACAGGTAGGATGTCAGGACTGATCTGGTGTTCGTCGGAGGAGTGGCAGATGACCAAGACAGCACTTTCAGGAACTTGAGTGGTTTCGTCAGCAGGTGTTTGTCGGACGCTGCTGTGATCTGACGCATCAGGTGTTGGGTCAGTTTCTGACTGTTTTGCGGGTTGTTCAGGTAGGATTTCTTGTCCGTCTGAAGTTATAGAGGTTACTGTTCTCTGAGGAGTGCTGTTCTTTGTGGCTGGTTGGGTCAGCTGGTCGCTGCCTTCTCTTCTGACTGCTAGTCAGGCTGACTCTGGTTTCTCTTTCTTTTCCCACTTCCGGTCCTCCTCCTTTTGGTGGAAGAACTCTTTCATCATCATTTTCATTAGCTCTTGTGAGTCGAAACACGGTGATGTGTTTTGTTCTTGTGTGGATTCAGTTTGAGCTTGGTCAGCTTGGAATCTTTGCGAGTTTCTTCGTTGATTCCTTGGACTGGGTGCTCCAGGGTGTGTCTGTCGTTTTCCCTTGGAGGTTCCGTTGGATTCCCATGAGCCTTTTCCTCTTGAGTTTCCGAACGAGTTTGGCTGATTCCACGATCTGTTCCATTGATTCTCACGAGGTCTGGATTGGTCCCAAGATTTTTCCCAGTGACGTCCAGGTGACTGTTGTCGTCCACGCGGTCCATCCCAGCGGTTGTTCCTCTGTTTAGGTCGGGTACCAGCATGGGAGTCTCGTTCTCTGTTAAGCGAGGGTGTGTTCCACTCTTTGTGTGGTGGCTTGGCATGGTCTTGATGTTGGGCGCCCTCTAGAGCCAGACCTTGACTTTGAGTGTTGAAGTCATGAACTGTTGGGGTTTTGGCGCCCTTTTCTGAGGCCATCTTTTGTTTGCCGTAGGCTTTCTGTGCCAAGTCACGCAACTGTTGAGCATTCATTGTCCGAGGACATGCGAGAACGCCCAGATGGTGGCTTACTCCGGGATGGAGGTTTCTCAGGAAGAGAGTTTTGAAGTTTAGATCCTCTTCCATGTTCGGTTCGTTGTGAGTTCCGAAGTATGCTCGTCTGAGTCGGCTGTAGTAGGCTTGAGGAGATTCATGACGTCCTTGTCTCGTCTTCAGGGCAGCCACTAGTCCTTGTTCTGACTCAGGGTCGGCAAATTCTTTAATGAGGGCCTCTCGGAGGAGGTGGTAGTCAGCCTTTGTGTGAGCAGGCTGCCTGTCCAGGAAACTGCGTACGTCAGGGCTGGCTGTTGTTCGGAGCAAATAGAGTCTATCTTTGTCCGTGACATTGAGCCTCATTTCAAGATGGAAATCGACGTCTTGCAGATAAGCTTGGACATCCTGGCTACCTGGCACACTTGGGGTGAATTTGCCAATGTTTCTGGCGAGCTTGTCGAGATCTTTGAGGTCCAAGCCATGCAATGCTCTGTGGCTGGCTGGAGCAAGTTCTCTTAGCTTTGTCGTGAGGTAAGGTTCTTCAGAGGGAGTCGGTGAATGTTTCAGCACTGCCCCCTCCCCCTTTTGCTCATGTGTCAGTCGAGGAACAGGTGACCCAGTCCTGCTAGGCAGGGGAGAGACTGGTGCTCGTCGGGTCCTTGTAAGCTCAGGGCGCAGCTCGTAGGCATGTCTGAGTTCCTCTCTGATGTTGTCGGACTTCTCTTTGATGTAGTCCAACTGTAGTGTTAAGCGACTGATCTCGTTTTTTGACTCATCCAGGTGAGCTTCAAGGGCTTTAATTCGGCTGTTCTTGTCTCTGAAGTCGGCCTTTGCCTTTTCCAGGAGCTGTTCGGCATATTGCAGCTTGCTGGAGAGATCAGCGTGGTCAGCCTTGCCTCGTTCCATTTCTTGGATAGCGGTTGCTAGGGTTTCTTTTAGCCTAGTGATCTCCTCCTCGGCGCCTTGTTCCACTTCCTCATGCCCTTCCTGTCGTTCCTGAGCCTCCAGTTCTAGCTGCTTGACGCGTCGTTGTGCGCGTGTTAGCTCCTGCTGGAGATGGGCGGCGTGCCTGTCACTCAGCTTGAGGGTGGCGATGAGTGTGTGGCTTAAGGAGCCGGTGATCTTTGCTAATTCTTTGTGACTGTAGCTCTGACTTGGGTCTTGTTTCATGAGGTTTGCTATGTTGTCATCCAGCTGGTCTTGTGTCTGATGCCTCAGTGTTTCAGCAGCCTTAGGTAGGAGGCTGTCTGTTGCAACACTTAGCCAGGTTTCGAGGTCTTCCCAGTGGCCAACAGGGTCTGTTGTGTGAGACATGTTTTGGCGTGGTGAGGGAGATCTTAGAATCTAGTTTGACACTGACCTTGAAGAAGAGGAAACAAACAAAACAAAACAAACAAGGCAAAACAGAGGTGTAAGTGTGCAACGTCACTTGTGGTTTGACAGTGAGTGTGTAAGGGACAGGTGAGTGTAGTTCTCGGTTACTGTGATTCTCTGGTGGGCGTGCTCCGAATTTGTAGTCTCTGTGGGGAAAATTAGTAAGCACACAGGTAGCACAGCTAGAGAACGGAGGGATGAAAGGAAAAGAAAAGAACAACACTGAGCAGTGGACAGGATAGTAATTGGCTGCTTCCAATTTTCCTGTAAGAGAAAAGTTTTTTTTTTTTCTTGAAAAGAAAGAAAGTTAATGGTAAGATGAGAGGGAAAGATAAAACAACAAAATACCCTTTTCTGGTGGCAGAATGAGGATAATTGCATTTTCTTCTCTTTTTCCTTTTGGTTAAGTTTGATTTAGAAGGATGCTTCTAAACCGGCGTTTGGGAATGGGGATTTCTTACTACCACAAACCACAGGACTGTGATTGTTATTAACATTCCTCCATGTGAAGGAAAAACAATAAAAATGACAGTATTGGGTTTTTAGCTGTTACGATTAACACCATTCACCAATTTTTCGTTCCTGGATGCTTGTTCAAAGTTTGGCGGGCGCCTGTCAGTCTTCTTAGCTAGGTAGGGTTTCTTAAGCAAGTGAAAGGTAAATGGAAGACAATTTTGAAACGGCGTTCTCAAGTTTCACAAAATACCTGTTCAATTTCTCAAAATTCCCTGCTCTGTGATTTCCACAGGCGACATCCCAGCCAAACAACCGCAGTCGTCAACTCAAAAGGAAACAGCTGAGAGAGAGAGGCAGAAAAAGAGAGAGAAAAGTTTTGCTCTTCCAATGTATTAAATGAATTAAATAACTGAAAGGGAGAGGAAAAGAAGGCCAATTTGCTAATTAAATTAGAATTTAGGGTTAGCAATGGTATTTCCTGGTTAAAATTTAAAGATGTTATCATTAAAATTGATGAGAGTAATTAAAATTACTATTAATCAATTTATATCTTGAAGCAGGATGACTCAAACCCTAATGATAGCCCTGAAATAAAAATGGTATTGCCTTATTGATGGTTAAGGATTAAAAATTTTATGATGTTTGTTATTAAAATTAGCAACGCAATTATAGCTGACTGATCAGCAAATATTGTGGCAATATGGAAACAGGACCCGTAATTAATTATTAAATGAAATTAAAATTCCAAATACGTAATTAATTGTGAAATCAGTATTAGTAACTTGTTATCCTTAAAGCTTAAACTTCTAATGTTGTTGTCTTTAAACTATAATAGCGCCTACAATCAAATTTAATCAGTAAACAGTTGCCATGTGGAAGCAGGAACTGAAATTAATTTATGACATGAAATTAAAATTTCAAATCTGTAATTAATTTATGAACTGAAATGTCAATTCCAAATCTGTAATTAATTATTAAATGTACTTCACAATTTCAAATCCTTACGTATAGCAAATTGATAATATTTACTTATGATAAAATCATAAGGGCCGTTATAGCTGAATTAATCACAACGTAGCATTAAAGTAAGACGGCCTAGACTAGCCAGGATTAATTGTTAATAACAACACACCGGTAGCAGTTTACTGAGATAGTAACACGCTGAAGGGGAGAAGCCAACCCTTTTTAACCAATGTGATTATAACCACTTGTGAGATTGCTAATCTGACGTTTTTGGTTAAAATCACGTTGCAATAAGGTTTATAAAGTTTGCATCTGTCTGTTCTTTTCAATGGGAGGAGAAGAGGAGAGAGAGAGGTAGGATGAGATCAGTGTGAAATAGGGAAAGAAATCAGATGTGACTGATAGTCACCTCAAACACTGCAAAACTCTTTGCCTTTGACCACAAAATGCTACGTGCTAACCACTAGCCTTCCATGCTAATAGCTTAGCTTGACTCTCTGTTTACAAACAGCTCAAAATGGCGCTGGAAGTTCCTTCCGGAAAAGGTTTCTCCGAACTTCCGGGTTACGGCTGTTACTATGGTTACTGTCCTGCGATCACACACAGTTGCTGGTTATACACAGTTTACGCCCTTCAAGAGGGAATGACGGCGCATTCCACACTGAAAAACCAGAAAACACTATTTAGAATTTTATCTTACAGTGCTGTGTAACACTCACTCGTTAGAGTGAGATAAATTAATGTACAGCTTTACTGCCATTAATTCAATAACTGTCAACGATATCTTCGGCGGATATCAGCACATGTCTATTTCTACAGACAAAACACACGTGGATTTAACCACATTTCACTTGATCAAGCTTTCATAATTCTCCCAAAGTAAATATCGTTCGGACAATCTCTCTGAGCACCGCGTTTTCAAGTTCACTAGTTTTTTTTTTTTGTGAATTAAATGGCAAGAGCATTAATTAGCTAGTTTAATGGTCTGAAGCCGGGAGATTTATTTATCATAGACTCATTTGGAGATGGAACACGCACCAACAAATCGAACTATGAAGGCCTTTTACAGAAAGTAAATGGGGAAAACGCCCGTTTCTTCCTTGTGCGCTCTGACACGACTTATTTTGTCTCGTTGGACAAATTAAAACGTTTTTCTGCAGTTCAATTCTTTAAAGAACAACTCAAGTTTCATAATCAAACAACACGCTCTTCCGTGCTAAAATAACATAACCAAATAACACAACAAATTCAGTTTCTTTTGTCTTTTATCTATTTTTCCGGATAAAAATAGACAAAATTCATAATATTTATCTTGGGTCATTAATTTTTCAGTCAAATCTTGCCCGCATTCTCCACCATACTGTAAGAAATTAACTCAGTTGTAAGGGAATTAATTATTATTAATTCAGGTTTTAGAGGACTAGGATCTGAAGAGCCTAATTCAACCTGATTCGAATTGATTCTAAATTTGATAGTTTACACTCTATCAGCTACTCGGCCAGCGAGAAGTTAATGTCAGTGTATATTACCAATTGAATATGTATTTTATGTTCTCCCTGGCCATGGGTTAACACAATTATGATCATTTGTCAGCTCTTAGAGAGAGGTAATTATTATGAGTAAGCTACGAGCTAGGCAGCAAGCAAGGAATCTTTGGCAACAGTTTTAACCTTGAAATTATATGACACCAGACAATTGATTATTTATAAATGAAACGTGAATTTTATTGGCTATCCTAGATTACATAAAACTAAACTAAAACACACAAAATTACACACACACATGTACAGTTTCTTAGACTGTGAGTTGACTGAGTTTCGTTCTACCCCGTTTTCACGAGTGATTTAAATTCACCTTAAGAATTTACAAAGCAGAGAATTTCGTCTTAAATTTTTCTGCTTATCTAAATTCACCAGTTCAGCAGATCGAAGTTATTGTTTGTACTTGCGTTTTGCTGGTTGACAGCTGGAAAGCTGAGGTGATTCTGTCGCTGACTCTGGCTTCCTGGATGTCTGTGAGGGAAACCCCATTACTGATTGGTCGGTGACGTCGGAATGACGTCCCTTGGGAACTTTAAAAGCAAGTATTGTACATACTATTAAAGCTTACTTAATTTCAACATTCTGCATTTGTCGTTTCCATTCGTTCAAGATTAAACTTCACATATTACACACATTTTAATATCCTCATTTCCTAGAAAGGGGTAATAAATACTACTTAACGTTGCACCGATTACATGAAACACGTCAAGCATATATATACAACATACAACATACTATTTGTGATTCTATGCTCTGATAATTTTATACTTTCAATGATTAGCAACGATTGTCTAAGAAATCTTGTCTCCTTCCGTTGGAATGCAGAGGGAAAAGGGAAGGGTCCTGCGGTCATTCTCAGGTCAGATTTGAGAGTCTGCTGGAGATTCTCCTGCTGGACAGGGAGCTATAAAATTGTCTCTTTTGTTGATCGGATTTAGCAATTTATGCGTCAAATGGTCATGAGGTCCATGCGATTCTGTGCAGGACTCTGTCTAGATAACAGGTTCTCTGTTCTTTGGTCCATTCGATGTTTTATTGATGCTGAAACCAGTCACGAAACCTACTGACCTTCTGTAGCTTAAACGGATCCAGATGGGAGGGGTCAGTTCTTGTTGTCTTAGTATGCTTCGACATGGAGTGGCAAATCATTAGCTCCGTGTTTCCTTTGTAAAGATAAGCAGAGCGAGACAGGAACTCATTGGAGAAAGTTGCCGCCTGGCTGGCCATGGTTCAGCTTTTTACGACTCTCATCTAGTTTGTGTGATGTTCGGAAATGCCTTACACTTCACATCAGTGAAGGTGGCTGATGCTCCTGTCTAGATTGCAGTCCTACTGGCGAAGGATGCGATAGAGCCGGTCCCTCCAGCCGATATGGAAATGGGGTTTTCCAGCCTCTAATTCATTGTACCCAAGAAAGGCGGTGGGTTGCGACCGATCTTGGACCTGCGTGTCTTGAACTGGGCCCTTCGACAGTTACCATTCAAGATGTTGACGCAGAAACGCATATTCTGGTGCATCCGTCCCCGAGATTGGTTTGCAGCGATTGACCTGAAGGATGTGTACTTTCATGTGTCGATTCTTCCGCACCACAGACCATTGCTGCGGTTCGTGTCCGAAGGACGAGCATATCAGTACGAGGTCCTGCCCTCCGGGCTGTCCCTGTCGCCCCGTGTCTTCACGTAAGTTGCTGAGGCTGCCTGAGAGAACAGGGCATTCGCATTCTCAACTACCTCGATGACTGGCTCGTACCAGCTCAGTCTCAGGATCAGTTGTGTGCACACAGGGACTTGGTGCTTTCGCACCTCAGCCGGTTGGGCCTTCAGGTAAACTGAGAAAAGAGCAAACTCTCCTTGGAGAGGATCTCTTTTCTCAGTATGGAGTTGGATTCGGTCGAGCACGCCTCATGCAAGGACGTGGTCAGTCGGTGTTGAACTGCCTGAATATGCTCAAGGGCAGGACGACGGTCCCACTAAAACACTTTCAGAGGCTCCTGGGGCATATG